ATGTACAGCAGAATTACACAGACAGAGACCTACCTATCGACCTTCAAACACATACATGTACACGTACAGATACTACTGGCTGGGCGACTCATGGTTTCAATGGATTTCAAGATAAAGCTGCGGCTGGGCGACGTTGCATTGGAGTCGCATGCGTTGCTCGGCACCTGGAGGTAGTTGTTGCCGACTTCTTCACTGCTGTCTCCGAACAGTCAAAGGAGTCTTCCAGGCCTTGATGCCAGCAGCCACATGGATTCTTGCCTGGGTGCCCGCTCCGACGGTGACGTCACAAAGAGACGCTCACCACTTCGATTCGACGCGCCAAGTACCAAGGCCTGCACAAGCGGCTCTTGAGTCGCAGCTGCCACGGCAGCATCGAAAGAGGCCGGTTCCTGACCCAATGCGATACGTCTAAAGTGCGTCAGTCGCGTTAAGGTCGGCCTGGGATGCCAATGTAGCCGTAGCCGTAATCGCTGCAACCTGTGCGTAGGCGTAGGGGGACGTTTCGCGGCGTTTGCTTCCTCATGAATCGCGACATCTGATTCACTCTGGGCAACGAGGATCCCATAGTAAAGCCAAAATGGCCAGCGCATGCGCTGAATTCTCCAACACGAATCGACCTGCACAGTGAATGGCTCACCCAGCCGGGTGTCGAATGGTGTTCCCTGCATTCATACTCAGGCCTTCAAAATCGAAACTACCGGGAGCAACAAAGCGACTGAGTAAAGCTCTTGTTGTCCTTTCAACGTGTGGCTTTGGAGTGTTTGAGATGTCGAAAGTCCGCTTGCAACTCGCTTGGCTAGAAGGAGTTGGGGCATGCTCTTCTTGATGCTTTCTTGCCTTTCTGTGTTGTCTGCGTGCTCTCCTGATGCTTCCTTTCCTGTTGCTTGGGCCCATGCGCGAAGAGGCGTGTTTGTGGTGCACATGTGCAAGCTCCGACTCAACACGCCGCGACAGAAAGAGGGAGCAAAAGCTGCCAATGGAGAAGCTTGTGTTGAGGTGCTGGCTGCCGACCCGTTCCTGGGGACAATCTCTGAATTCTACTCTCTGCCCAACGAAGGTGCAGGAGCCTTTGCCAACAGCATTTCAGCGTGGAAGTTGGGCTCCATGGCAACCAGCTGCATCCCCTCGGGGAATTGAAAGACATCCGCCGTCATGACAGGGAGAGCCGGGGAGCGCCTGTCCAGCCCGCAGCCTCAGCAAGGCAGCTGCGAAAGCTGCGAGTGACAGCCGTCGTATCGCTGCCTGGCCTTGGGAGCGTCGAGGCGCCGAGGCCATCGACCAAACCTTGCACCTCATGGCAAATGCCACGCAGCTACCGCCGGGTCGCTACATTGCCGCAGCCTACAGCCTAGCCCACACTTGAAAAGTTGAGGGTGAGGGTCTACTGGTGCTTCTGCCTGCTGCGCACTTGCTGCCGCGGCTGCAGAATCTGCGAGCTGCAATCCGGACCTTGTGGCAGCACGAAGGTTCACATTTGGTCAGTTGGGGCTTTGGGATGATGTCGTTGACGTCGGAAAAAAGAGTCAGGAAGCGAGAACAGTCAAAATCACTTTTGAATGAGCTTGACGATGAGCTTCTGCTGCCACCCGATGAAAACGTGGGCCTTTCTGCAAGTGCCATTGCCGATATTGTGCATCGTGAGATTCGGATGGGCATTTCTCCCTTGGAGGCTAGGCTGACAAGCATGGAGACAGTTCTTGGCAACCGAGTGGACAACATCGACCAACAATTGAAAAATCATGGCGACCGAATCGAGAAGATGGAAGCACTGTCGGGGCCCAAGGATGTTACACCACGCTCGCGCACATCGGAGCACAGCCTTTCCGTGGAGAAACAGATCACAGATTTGCAAATGCAACTTGATGGTTTGTGCGTTTCCCCCAAGACCGACAAGCCTGAGCCAGCGAAAGTCATGTTCGTGGGTGGTCTTGCTGCATTTCTGGACATGCAGTCAGCAACAACGTGGGTGACGAATACGTTGGAATCAATGCGGGGTCCAAGCATCATCAGCACGTATATCAAGTCGGAGAAGTTCCAAGGCTTGCTGTTCGTGAAATTTGCTTCCGTCGTAGATCGTGACACAGCGGCTACTTTGCCACGCAGTGGCTCTTTGAAGATTGGCGACTCGCCGGTTTGGGCCACGCAGGATCTACCCGTTCCTGTGCGCTCGAACACTTTTTCTCAGGGGCTTGAGATGGCAACTTGCAACTTGCAACGTGGGGCTTTTGGAAACAAGAGATTACAGAGATCAATGACGACTTGACGTGCATGCACGTCGGAACGATGCTTGTAATCAAGATTGCCAATGGCACGCGGGGAAGGGCTTAGGTAAGTCGAAGAGCAAATCCACCCCGCATTAGGGGTTACAACACATGGGCATGGATACAGTTTCACAATTTGGATGTGCAAGCACGGCTGGTGACGAAGGTCGCAGCTTGAATTCACCTGATGTATGTCGAGGTGGTCGTTTATGAGTTGCTTCGCGGAATGTGGTGGTGGTGGTCACATGGAATGTTTAGGGCTTCACCGATGCTAAATTGTGGAGCTTGGACTTTACATGTAGCAGCTTGGGGTTGGGAGCCTTTGCTTGCAAGAGACTCATCGAACCGAGTCCACACACGAGGTAACTGAAGATGGTATCTTGCTGATTCTGTCGGGTGTCGCAGCGGCCGAGCCTTCTACCAGAGCCGGTGTTGGCTTTCCTGTTGCACCGGTGTGTCGTAGGTACGTTTATCAGTTTCTGCCAACAGTCTTCCCGCATGACGTCGTTGCTGGGGGAAAGGCTACAGGCTACTATTTGCAGTATTTACGCACCGCACAGCGGCCGCCTACGTGATAATCGCCAGGCATTCTCTCAACAAGTGGCCCATTGGTTGTTACTGTATCACGATGTCGCGGCCTTTGCAAGCTAAGCGCCCATGGATCAGTGACGATACATTGGCATTGATTGATCGGCGCAGCATTGCTAGAAGATCGTTCAATACTCCATTGGAGAAACAGCTGACTTCCGAAATCAAAGCATCTGTCCGTTGGTTGGAACAGCTGTGGCACACAAAGGTGACTGGAAAGAAATCCGCAAGCTGCGGAAAGGCTCCCGTCGTAAGCACGGCCCTTTTGCGCGATCAGGTTGGTTCGTTGAAAGATTCGGATGAAAGAGCCGATACGTCGCGACTTTGTTGGAATCGATGCAATGGTCCAAACGGCCTGTCACAGCTTCCGTTTCTGACGCTATGCTCGGCCCACATTCCCCGTTTCATGTGAGGACATTGAAGTCGACGAGGTGGTTGAGGCTGCACGTAACCTCAAACATGGAAAGTCTGCTGGCCCCGATTTTTGCTCAAGCCCGCACTCTTATCTCAGCCACGTGTCCAACGTGGAGGTTCGGACATGGGCTGTGGCCGCACCATATTCCAAGATTTTGACGCACAGGCAACTGCAGCTCCTTGGCTGGATTGCTGCGCTTCCTTCCTCGGACGTCATGCGAGCATGTGTTTTTCAGGAAGGCTCGGAGGCCCGAGCACTTCTCTCTTGAGGCGTCGGTTCGTTTTTCCCTAGTGCTTCCTTCCTGTCGGCGCTCCCTGAAAATTATCGGTTTCCACCAAAGGTGGTCTGCTTCCTGAAGGTGAGACTGAGATCTCAAGGGTCCGAGGATCTGGGCTCTCAAGCTTTCGCTCTACGAGCACACAGAGCAAGGCAGGCCAGCAGCCGAGGGAGCCGCAAGATCATGGCGATGCCGGCCCACACCTCCGATGCAAATCACATGCCTGCGTCCTCGCCTGTGCCTGTCGAAGGCATTGATGGCCTCCTCGCCCGCGTATCGATCGAGAGTACTTTTCGGATCTACTGCCTCGCAGTTTGATCACAGTTGCGAATTCACCACTGAGCGAGCAGCTGTCTTCCGGCCTGGTCTAGGAGCAGCCTCCCTTGCGTGGTAACCAGGAGCTGCGCTGCCGTCGTAGTGAACTGCCACATGGAACGTATTGGGACGAGGTCGGCCAGCGGAGCGGTGCCAAAGACTTGGCCTCCAGAGGTATCTGATGTCTGGACACGTTCCAGAGCCTGAGATGTCAGTGCTCAAACCATAGCCAGACGAGCAGGGCATTCTGAATGCATCTGAGCAATTGGCACAGTGCCGGCTGGTACGTCATCTGGCTCGGTGCCATTGTCGGTGAGATTACCTTGCCAGTGGCACGGACTCAGTGCGCCTTGCCAGGTGATCAGCTGGAAATAGCACCAAGCTGCGTGGATCCAGACTGTCTCCGAAGACAATGGTGACATCGACCTGAGGTTCCGCGGAATGTCGCTGAGTCATTTCGGCTAAGAGATGCGTCAGGCCAAGCACGCACAAAATTTCAAACGGAACACATGGAGACGCAAGCTTCCGGCCGCTTGCACCACTGTAACCGACACTGTCTTCAGCAACATCATCACAGCAGCACCCAGCTTGCCGACCATGTCCTCAAGCACACAAGTGCACGCATGTTGGCTCTCTCAGCATCTGCCACAGCACTAGGAAAGTCTGAACCGAGGAGCGCCCCAAATGTAAGGGGCGGCAGCTGTCAGCATCTCAAAGGCCTCGCGACTGCTGCAGTGTCTCTCTGTGCACCGACTTGCCTGGCCGTCATTTGCTTGCCCTCTGAGCTCCGGTCTGGTCTGACAACCTTCGGCGCATCCACATCACGATTAGACGTTCCCAAATTGAAAGTACAGTCTCAAGCGCTTAAACAGCAACTGCCCAGGCTCCTCCTTTGCAGGAATCTGCTTGCAGGTGACAGTGCCGAAAAAGTCGGTGCCTCCACTCCAGGTCTGGTAGTGCGAATCTCAAGTGCCAGCGCTGAGTCCGCGGCTGCATTCCTTCTGCCTCACAATCGGGTCTGCCGTGACAGCCACTGCTATGGCAGCCTCATGCAAGCGTCTCAGCCGGGCCGAAAGCACTAATTAACATCACAGCTCGCGCCTGAAGAAGCTGACCCCTGAAAGACACGAGCAAGCAAACTTTGAGAGAGTCGCGCGAGGCCACAACCGCAGGCTGCTGTGGATCCGGCACGTTGTTCGTCACCTGCACGGTTGCCAAGAAAGCCTCGGGGAATAAACGGTGGCAAAGATGTACTATAGCTTGCATGAGCAATCTCGCAACAGATTCCCACATTCTGCAGCTCGGCAAAAATCGCAGCCTGTTTTCTGCATTGCATGATGTAAAGTCGCTAGATGGAAGGGACAACCGCAACTCTAGCAGCTGCTAGTCGCTACCCTCACGCGAGAAGGCAGCCGTCTTTCAGTAAAGCTCTGTCACCTGCCGCAGGTCGGTACTCGTGTGGCAGGTTTCGAATGCTGCCTCACCCAATGATCTGCATGCGTCTACGAACTCGTCACCGCTTGATGCGATTGTTGAGCCTGCTGTTACTTTTCATATCGCAGAAGCCGCTTGCGTTGACTGGCTCCCTGTCTGCATACTTATGGCCGACAGGGGGGTAGCTGTCCTAATCCTGTAGTAAGTGAAACATGTGGACAAGCAAGATCACCGTTGCTGGCATTCGGCGGAGTTCGCCGCGTTGAGCTAGCTACTTCAGAGGCCGAGACTTTTTAAGCTCAGAAACTTTGTCCCCATTAACCTCAAACTTGTGCGCGGACACGCCTTCGCGCTTATTCGGCTTATTCTCTGTGTGCTCCTTTGGAGAAGTAGGCGGCTGTGGGTTCTGGTTCGTGCCCACATTGAATCCCACCGAAAGTCCGATCACGACTCCGGTGCTAAGTGTTCCAATCCACGTGAAGTCTGGACCGTTTGACACAGGCTGAAAGCTTTGGTCCGTAACTTGCTGTGGCACAGGTGTAGGAGCTGGATTGCGCAGCAGGCCCTGCACCAGCAAGCTGAGGAGAATACCCGAGGCCGAACCGATGGCCACAGCTCGAACACGCTTCTCAAGCTTGTCATCGGGCTGTTTCTCCACCCTTGCTGCAGGAACTTCCGGAACCTCCCACAGCGATGGCTGACTGTCACGAGGAGGGCCGACAAAGGCTGTGCACAGGTATGTAGCGATGGCGAGCGCAGCCACTTTGCTCAACCTTCTGTGCAAGCGCCGCACATGCTGCAAGCGTTGCGGGAGCTGCACATCACGAGGTTCTGTCGCTGGAGCGGCCGCAGCCGTTGCGGCGATTGCAAGGCTTGCCAGGCAGGTTGGCAAGGCTGCAGAGTTGTGTGAGAAGGAAGAACAAAAGGCTTCCGATGAGGCTCGGCTCTGCCTGGTTTCGGGTGCATCCGCACCAGTTCTTCTTGCAAGGAGCTGCATCTCTGTTCTGATCGCTAGAGGGTCCATGAGCATCACCACAGAAGACGCCAAAGCCAGTGAGGCCAGTCGGAAATATCGCTTGCAAAGCGCGTGAGCTGTCATGGCGAGAGAGCAGCCCAGAGGGCGGGTCAATCGCTAGAGTCCCCTGAAATACCTTGATTGCCCCTCATGCGACTACCGGCTGCACATGGTCTTTGAGTCTACGAGGCGAATTGCCTTTTTCCTTTGAGCTGAAGCAAGATTTGCTTGAAAGCCTGCCACAGAATAGACTAATACTTCTTGAGCCGAGAGTCTTGCGGGCAGCTCACCTTTGACGAGTCTTTCGACTCGCACACTCGCACGAGGCTGGCATGGCGTTCGAAGGTCTGAGCTTTAGGTTCTGAAGCGGCAGCGACTGCGAAGCACTTCAAGATTCGAATCGGGTATATATTTTTTACCGCGGAGGCGGCGGAACAAGGACGCGGGACGCGGGACGCAGGACGGGGGGCGCGGGACACAGGACACAGGGCGGGTCGCTGGACGCAGAAAGCGGGATGCGGGACGCAGGATGCGGGACGCAGTACGCAGGACACAGGAAGTGGGAGGACGCGGGACATGGGACGCGGGCTGCGGGACGTGTGGGAGTGGGAATGCAGAATGCGGGACGACGAGGGACGCCGGGGCTTGGTGCGTCGGCGCGCGGCCCATGGCACGGTTGTGCGGCACGCCAAGGCAAGGCACGCGGCACACGGGACGTATCTGAACCCGAATCGCGAAAGGAGGGGTCTGTGGGGTCTGTTTATTGGCGTTCGCGGCCCCCCCCCAATGAATGGTACTGGTCTGGTGGTGGCGTGTGCGGAGAGGGGTCAGGGCGGTTGGGTGGGGTGCTGCTGGGGGCCGCCAGGGGTCACAGAGCGGGCCGGGATCTTACGCAAACCCTACACAAGCCATAAACCTTATTACGTAGGGCGTGTTCCTGTTTTTGTTAACCTTAACCTGTATGCAATACTGTAAACCTTACACCCAATCCTAAACCCTGAACATAAACCATCACCCTAACCAACCTGCACCCCAAACCCTCCCGAAGCTATCGTCGACTCGAAGCCTTATAATTTTTAACCTTAAATCGTAAACCCAAAAATCAAAAGCTTAAGCTAAACCCTAAACCCCAAAACCCCACAACCACACCACAGGGGGAAGAGTAACACCACACCCCAGCCACGGGGGGGGGGATCCCGGACCATGGACCATGGGGGGGAGGGGGGGCGCGAAACGCCTGACCAGATATGATATATGATATGATATGTCCATACAAAAAATGATGACCCGAAATCGCTAAATGAGGGGGTATGCTGAACTGGAATCGCAAATGAAGGGACTTGTTTCGACACTCACACTCGCACGCAGCAGGCAAGGGACTTGTTTAAGATCTATGATGAACCGGAAGCGCCAAATGAGGGGCGTGTTTAAGATTTATGATGAACTGGAACCGCCACATGAGGGGGCGTGTTCAAATACATCCATATATATATATGATGATGATGATGATGATGATGATGAACCGGAATCGCCAAATGTGGGGGGCCGTGTCTAAGATGTATGATGACTGGAATCGGCAAGGGAGGCTATATGATGATGAACCGGAATGGCCAAATGAGGGAGCGTGTTTAAGAGATATGATTAACCGGACGGGCCTGCTTAAGATATATGATGAACCGGAATCACCGAATGACGGGGGGTGTTCAAAATCTGTGATGAACCGGAATCGCCGAATGAGGGGGGGTGGGGGGTGTTTGAGATTATGATGAACTGGAACCGCCACATGAGGGGGCGTGTTCAAACATATATATATATGATGAACCGGAATTGCCAAATGCGGGGGGCGTGTTTAAGATATAGGATGACTGGAATCGCCAAAGGAGGGTTCTGCTTAAGATATATGATGAACCGGAATGGCCAAAGGAGGGGGCGTGTTCAAAATCTGTGATGAACGGGAATCGCCGAATGAGGGGGCGTGTTTCAGATATGTGATGAACCGACATCGCCAGAGGAAGGGGCTGGTGTTTAAGACCTAACCCGGAATCGCCACATAAGAGACGTGTCGAAGATGCATGATGATCCGAAATCGCCAAGAGGGGTTTGTTTAAGATATATGAAGAGCCGGAATCGCCAAATGAGGGGCGTGTTTATATCGTGCACCGGAAACGCCAAGTGAGGGGGATGCTTAACATATATGATGAACCGGAATGAGGGGGTGTGGTTAAGATACCTGATGAGCCGAAATCGCCCAATGAGGGGGCGTGTCTAAGATATTTATTTATTTATACATTTATTTATTTATTGATTTATTTATTTATACTTATATATATACATATATATATATATTATAAAGTATATGTTGATGATGATCCGGTATCGCCAAAGGAGGGGGCAGGCTGAAGATCTATGCTGAACCAAAATGCCGCATGAGGTGCTTGTTGTTGTTACTGCTATTGTTGTAGTTGTTGCTTTCTTATTCTTGTTCTTGTTGCTGTCGCTGTCGCTGGTGGTAGCGGTGGTGGTGTTGTTGGTTTCGCCGCGGCCGTGGGCCTCCGGGCCGTTTACCGTGCGGCCGCGAGCCGCGGGCAGCGGGCTGGAGGACACGAGACGTGCGATGCGGACCGGGGCGGGACGTGGGACACGGACGCGGAACGCGGGACGCGGAGGCGGCAGGTCGCACGAGAATTTGCCTATTATGCAAGCTTCAGGCAACCAGTCCAGCTTCTGTTCTTCTGTGATGTTCAGTTTAACCTGCCGGCACATAGGAGGAAAACTGGTGCGCTACTAGTCAACAGTGCACTGTACCACCAATGCACTACAGGCGCAGAAAGACACGAATTCTCGCCTGTTAAATAATCAGATGGGAAGAGATCTGCGTTGCGAAGCGGCGTATGCCTAGGGCCTAGGCCATAACGCAGATGGAGACCCTGAGCCAGAGCGAGTCGCACACTTTAAGCATAGACCCGCCAACACTTAAAACCAACTGCCGTAGCGTGCTTCTGGCGACGGGCCTCCACCGGATAAGGATGTTGAGGGATGTTGTGGAAAACTTGCTTATTCACGGCTGAAGTGAGACAGATTGAAGCTCAGGCTTCCAGCCTGTTCCCTCAATACTTGAAAGCCGTTCCTTAGTCGCGCAACGCTTGTCCTGAAACTCGGCCAGCTGCGCTCCTCGTGTATGCTAGTCGCTAGAATCGCTAGAAAACCCAATGCATCCACGCATCGAATCTCTCCCCATTCATCACTGCCAGCTGCCTTGTACTGGGACTCCATGTCAATAGAGACGCCTGCCGGCTGCCGAGTCCCAACGTGCCAGGACTGCACACAACTCACCTTTGCACGCACGCCTGCACATCAGTAACCAACCCCCCCCCCCCCCCCCCGACCCACCGACCTGCTCACACACACACACACAGACAGAGAGACTTTGTCCGATTCATCTTCCTGTTCATCACGATGCGGCATAACGAGACCACCAATGTCCTCTCCACAAGCATTTCCGTCATCGGCATGCGCTCGGGCACCAGAGCTCCAGAGCTCCGGTCGAATGACTTTTTGTGTTTTCAGATACCTCGAAATCAATCCTGCAGGCAAGCGTTGGGAATAGATCTAGAATCTTCGAAGGATGCCTGCCAAAGCAGAGCAATTATGCACAGCCGCATCCATGATGAGTTGCTGAGCAAAAGCTAAACGCCCCCTCCAAGGCCTTGTGATGACACACGAAAAATTCTTAATGAGATCCCATCAGCCGTTTCGAAACTGTCGGTCAAAGCTGTTTCCAGTCCCAAGGGCCCAAAGGACCTAAACCTTTTCAAGGGCCTAGGCCTAAAACCCTGTCTGAATCCACAGACACCCCCACCAACACCCAGGCATTTGCAGCGCGGGCCAGCCTAAGGACTTGCTCAGTCTGATCCTGCTCGCGACTCGAAACAACACTGGCTCAGGTCATCATCGAACATACGTCTTCAACACTGGTGTGCCGGGAGCAGCTGCCCAGCAACTCCGGGGAGAGGGAGAGGGATGCAATCCTAGTCCTAGTTCTCTTTCCACCTGCAGGCAGACGGTCCTAATCTGACCATTCTCACCGAGATCTGCTGTCAACCATCGGTTCATGGGATCATCCTCATCTTCCTCCACGAGGAAGCCTGCAGGCATGGTACTGCGGACACAATTCAGATCATGCGGACAAGTGCAGACGTCACCTTGGACCTTGTTCTCGACCTGAGATACTGATCGAGATTGGAACGGTGCAAGAAAGGAGCAGTCGCTCCAAAGGCGAGTGGCATAGATCAGCCTGTCATCATCATCACGGGTCACCTGCGCCAAGAAAGAGTGTCATCCAGAGGTGGAGTGTGCAACAGCTACAAAAAAAGCTTGTTTAAAATCAGAAGGAGCCTTGTACTTTCCGGCATCGTACTGCCACTTTCCCATGTGGGGGTTCATGAACTTCCTCAAGCACCGTCAATTGCATGTTGCAGGTTGCTGGTATGTGTTGAGCCTGTGCCAAAACGCCACCGAGCAGCTCGTAAATCTCTGGGCAGGGACGTAGCCGCAACGGCTCCGTATTGTCCCAAGACGCTCCGGGTTCCCACTCGGTTGTCACACATCATGCCATAGTCCGACTCTTGATCGATGCTCTCATGACGTAAGGGTCTAAGCCTGTGAAAGCCAGAGCCTTCAAAGAGCCTTCGGCGCCGAGTTGCTTGGTTGTTGCCTGCCAAGGCCTCGAAGCGGCTGAGTCGGGTCTGAGTAGACTCGACACACACGAGGGCCGGCAGGGCCGGGCCTGCACCACTCCGCCGATCTGCTCAGTGAACCCCGCCTGCGCCTGCTGCGAGTGTGCTTCACCCCCTCCCGGCATCTCCCGGCCCCTCCCCTCCACCGCACCGGCCCGGCCTTGCTAGGCAGGTCGGTCGCCGTGACGGACTCGAGGCACCTCTGAGTAATGAGGAGCCCCGATGTCTGTCTCAGGTGCACTGCTACAGACAGTGCCACCACGGAGCAGCTGATAGATATCACCCGTCTTCTCGCTGACATGCCAGCAGCTTCCGCAGAGGCCATCTTCGCAGGCATAGATCACGTTGTGGCCTCTGGCCCACAGTAGCCCCGAAGCTCTGACCACATCGCAGAATCTTTCTTCGCTGGGGTCTTCTTGGCAAAGCGCCAATGCGCGCCCGGCCTGCTGCCCGCGCTGCATCTTGAAGCTTCGCACTGGGACGAACGACGACGGGCTCAGCCGGCTCGGGGAAGACGACCTGACTCCAGCTCAATCCGCTGTCTAAAACTATTTCGGGAATCGCTCAGCCTGAATGGGGCCACGAGCTTCCCGTGACAACTTCAGGATAACCTGTGCCCGGTGCTCCCATGTGGCTTTCCCGGATGCACCGTGCAATGAGTTACCAAGCCTTGTCACCTTCCTTCAGCTTTGAGACGATTTCAACCTTGCACAGAATCACGACATGAAGGGCTCTTTTGCCTCCCAGCCTCGATGGCGGTAGCTCGGCACAGGACCACATCCTCCTGCGTCTTCACCTTTTGACCGTTCAGCATCAAGAGCCTGATCAGGCCCAGAACATGACACAGGGCTCAAGAGCTGCAGACTGAAATTGGGCACAATTGCCTACACAAGCGATAGACACCATGCCTATCGCCAGGCTGAATCCACATTTTCTGTATGTCCGAATCCTTCGTCACAGATTCGGCTGGCCACCCCTGCAGGATTCCATAAACATAGCACTAGTGGTCTCCATGTCCTCGGCCAAAATGCGCTGATTGTAGGCGAAAGCAGTCCCACTTTCGGCAACTTGACTGACTCCGACAGCCTCCTTGTCCCAGCTCCTCGGCATGAGCCGTGCACTCGCAGATTTTCGAAGGCTCGCCATCTCACGTCTAGAAGCCGAGTCTCGTATCTAAGGCCAGGCCCAAGGGAAGAGCAAGAGACACGTCAAACCACACCTGGTTGCCCACCCGCTTGGCATTGCGGGGATGTGGGCTCTTGAGCATCGCATCGTAATCCTGCCTGAGCGAATGCAGAGAATCAGACGAAGGCCTTAGATTTCAGGATCATGTCCAGATGAGCATCTTCATCTCCTTGAACTCTTCGAAAGCCTTCTCCGCTTTGGTTGCGTGCAAACAGACCTTCTGCGGAGCCCCACGGGCCCCACGGTGAGAAGCCTAGGAGACGGCGTGTCTTCAACTTATGTCCCATGCGCATCATGACTCAATGACCGGCCAAGGCACCGCCTGGCCTCGACCTGCACGGGAAAATAAACCCACACGTGGAGGGTTTTGGGACACCTCCGCACTTCAGCCTGCGAGAGTTCGCGAAGACGGGCTCGTCAGATATGTTGTGCTGAAGCGGCAGCTAACACACCTTAGCTCCAAAGCGCATCCTGCACAACTCGACATCACAACAGCAGACAGATCTGCTGCATATCCACACGAGGGACAACAAAGCCGCAAGAACCAGGAAACCACCAGACAATCGACATTGCCGTGCCATTGCGAGAAGTCTTCGACTGTTGCAGTTGGCACTGTCAATGAAATCTCTAGAGCCTGCATTCATGACAGCTTCCAGTTTCTGCGTGTCGCTGTGGCACATGAACTACGGCTCCTTTTTTGGCCTACCTTGAGAACGAAAAAATTGCATTGGACGCACTAGCTGGCAAAGCTGTCATCTCCGGAAACGGTGCTGCAAGTAGCCAGCCTCATGTGGTTGTGCCCTGCACCTGAAAAGCCATGCTGCGGTGCTTGCAGGGACGGATATGGGTAGACGGGCTTATTGAGCTAAGTCCGGCACGGGCGCTGACATGCAAGGCCGTCCACCGACCCTCAACAAAGGTCTCTGAAGCCAAACGTCTAAGTTACTTGAGTGACCACAACCTTCTGCGGTGTTCTGCCAGTGTTCGTTGGGCTTAATTACCATCACATTGAGCCATAAGTCTGCAGCAACTCATGGGTGTTGTCAAAATCTGCTTCACATCTCAGATTCTCAACAGCTTTGATCTTTGGGGCGGCTGCTTCCACGTAGGGCACGGTGAAGTTTTGCTCGGCCTCCACGATGAGAGGCTCAGGAGAGCTGGTCATCGCAACCTGGGAAGAGTGACACGGGCGATTCACTTTCGCACGCTGCAGCGCACCTAAGGCTCCTACTGCCCCTTCGTCATCCCGAGCTCGGACAACCTGAGCACGGCAGGAGTCCCCAAGTCCGCTGACGGCCTCTCCTTCTGACACTCGGGTTGTGTCCAGCTGATAAAGTCCCGCCGGCATGTGCACGAGAGCCTGCCCAAGGCGAGTTGCGAGATTCAACAGCGGCTTAGGCAAGCATCCACACCTGCGGCAAGCGACCCCAAGGCCTGCTGCTTGCAAAAAGAACGGCCAGTCTGCTAAGGAAGATGTGCGGCTGCTTCAGATCTGCGATGTTCTGGAACTGAGGCCCGTGCCTCAAGAGCTGCCTCGGGTTTGCTTGGGTCGGGCAAACCAACAGCCGTCATGTGTTAGCTTCTTGCAGTGCGGGCTTGTAACACGGCACACAGTCCGTGCTGCGGGCTCTGGAACTCTGAGCATCCCGAGTCCGGCTGTGCTGAAAACACGCATGCACTGTCGCTCGAGCGCACCACAAAATCCTATCCCATCTTGTCGCGAAACGTCGGTTCTCCATCGGCTGCGCATTGCCTTCTGGTCTCGGGGGGGGAACCTTCGGCACTCGAAAGATGGCACGTGCCAGGAAAGCAGCCGACCGCGTTAGCCGGGAGCATCTTCAGCTACACAAGAGCTTGGCTCTACGGTAAAGCCGCAGTAATGAGGCGTAGTGGCGTAGTGACGCTGCGAGGCTGCCAGGGGAAGTGCACCCGACAACTGGTGTGCGATCGTATGCTATAGCTCATTTTACCCTGCAGGACACGTCGAAGCTACCAATACCTTGAAACTGCAAGTACCAGGCCGCTGAGGACAACACCCTCCCAACTCCTTCCAGTACTGCGGGTGCTGGGGATCCTCCTGATCACAGGATTGCGATATCAACATCACATTGCAGGCCAACTCGTTGACAGTTTTAAGAGCCCAAGCGGTGAACGTGATCTACTACTGTGAGGAGCTGTCTTGCCTGCAAAGTTGGCTAATTCTAGCTTCTCCAAAATGATGGCATCGAGATTCAGGCTCTGTTCTTCCCACGGCATGCTTCAGGGAGTTGCCAAAACATGAAAATTCCAGCAGGTCCCAGTCGATCTGCAGGTTCGGCAAGGGGTCAGCGCCTTCCAGGTACAGTTATGCTCCCACTGTGCACGTCGTCTCACTGTAAAAGGGTCGAGGGCTTGGATTGTGAGAACAAGAACCAACAACAACCAGCAGCACAGACGTCCAGACGAAGAAGTAGCTGACTCGCAAGGGCCTTGCGGCAGCTCCTGGCCCACCACACATCGGATCCGTGGCCAAGCTACAGATGCAGAAAAGCAAGAGATGCTTCAAGTCCTGGAGCGGGAAAGCTACGAACTGATACTCCAGCTCTGCTGGCCGTTCATCCGCCCTCACAGCAGAGAGAGAGTGTCGTGGCGAAGCTCTGGGTGTTTTTGGCTCAGTGGAGGGCCACATGCTGGTCTCCACCAGGAAGGTCGTCCTCAGTGAAAGCGAAAGCGGTGGGGGTGGGGGGAGAGCTGAAGGCGGAGAGCTGAAGGCCCCGCCCGAGGGAGAGGCCCTGAAACGAGGGTTGGACCTCGCAGAGCTGAAATTGGCTCAAAGGTTCTCAAAGGCCGAGGCACGTCGCGAGGTTTGCTGTGCTGTTGGGGCTGCTGGCTCTCGGTTCCCGGCGGTGATGGAGCCACCGGAGGGTGGCTCTTCTGCGAGAAACTTTGGGGAGATGATCGCAGCCACCACGCCGTTGCGCAAGACATTCTCTAGCGGAGGCCGGTCAAGGACGCCTGCTACTGCAGCGGCCAAGGTGCTTTGATTATCAGATTGAAGCAAGACGTGATAATAAGGAACACTTGGAAGCAAGAGCCCGTCATCGCCCACATCAGACTGCAGTTCCAGCATGTTGCCCACTGTTTCGGCCCTGGTTGGGAGAATACGATCGAGTCTGGGCAGGAGGCGATCTTCGACAAGAACCCATTGCCAATGAACCTCCGGAACCAAACATGCCGCACCAGCTTGGCCACTTGCATCCACGACAGCGCTTACCGGAGGGATGCCATCCGTGAGATTCAACTTCCCCGTGTAAGCGTAGCGTGGGAATTTCAGGCTTAGCGTGGCGAACGACGTATTCTCTACCCTGACGGGATTTCGGGCAACCGCCGATGGTCCACCAGTCTTGCGACGAACGAAAACCGAGAAGCGGTGCACTCCAGGCAGCAGGCCAGGCCCAACCATAAGCCTCGGGCCAGCAGCTCCCAAGCCAGGCAAGTTCGCACAGATGTCAAGCTCGCCCACTTGTACGATGGATGAACATCTCCACTCGAAGAGAAAATCTGAAAGGTTGCTGCTGGGCAGAGTTGGGTCCCAAACCTGCGAGGCATCCAACTCAAAACCGCACTGCGAGGCTACTCTTGGGCCGATGATGTGCACCTCAAGCGGTGGCAATGACTCAACAGCAATTCTGAATACCACGTTCGCTCTCGGAGCTAGAGTGGGACGGGTATCAAATGCAGCCACCGCTCGCAACAGGTGGAAACTACCGGGCTGTAAAGCATATGGTACCAACTCTACGGTGTTGGGATCTTCCGACAGGTCTCGCATCAGCGGGTTCGAAGTCGCCACGTCTTCCAAGGCCCGGAACGCCTGGCCGAAACCGCTGTACTCCCAAGTCACGTTTGTCCGGCCTGCGCTTTTTCCGGGATCGCGCAAGGCGCAGGCGAGCGCGAAGGGTGCCTCCGAAGTCACCACCGAAAGAATCAAGCGCTCGCTGTGCTTCAGCTGAACATCGTTGCTCCCGACTGGGAAAATCACTGGCTCTGCCTGTGCTGTGGACCCCACTACGCCAGCAGAAACCACCGCCTCCGTGCTGTTGCCCAAGGCATTGCGAACGATCAGCCTCACCTCCAAGCGCACCTCCCCTTCCCTCAGCTCCTCTCCTAGGCGTGCACCAGCTTCTGAGAGGACCCAGGGGCTCACGACGACGGAGTCAGCACTCGTGGCTGTGGCTTCTTCCAGTAGTGTCGACAGCCGAGGAGTCCGAAACCAGCTTGGTGTGCCAGGCCCAAAGCCCCAGAAGAATTGGAGCGGATCGCCCCGGGAATCAAAGGACTTAGCCCCGCTAAAGACGAGCTCACCACAGGCTTGCACTGTTGTTGGAATTGCCTCCACCCGTGATTCAACATAGGGTAAGATAAAAGTTTCGTTGGTTGTATTCACGTCTTCCTGCGCGTACGTGAGCAAGAGTATCAAGAGGAAAGGCCGAAGGCGAGTGGGGAGTGCTTGCATCCACCGTCCACCCTCTGGGAGTCCGAGGGTCCGATTCTGAGCTGTCACATGGCCATCCGCACGTTCTGGCTACCTTGACGAAATGCAATACCAAACTTCCGCAACTCAGCAGGATTAACTAGCAGATTAGCATGCAACATGCTGTAACCTGCACGTCGCTCAAGCTTGGCTGTGGCAACACCTGCAGCACTCTTGCGCCAAGCGGCTCTCCGACAAGGAATCGGAGGGAAGTAGCTCCAAGCCTTAAGCTTGAGCCACTTGCGCCGACAATCAAGGCATACGCACGTCCTTCTCCGACAAAAGGCCTGGGTGGGCTGGCGTGGTAACAGCAACTTCGTTGGTCATTTGGATGTCCCAGATCTGAGTGGTGCTATTGAATCTTATTACTATTTTTTTTCCCTCTCGCATAGCTAAGGATCAAAGCCCACAAGCGAGGTCAGTTGGGGAAGATGCGAAAACAAGCCCATAATGTCAAAAAGACTCTCAGCCAGACCTAACCCAAATGAGGCCCTGAGGGAGACCAAGAGTCAACTTTCGACATCACAGGTACAGACATTTCACGGGCTCCGACTACAGGTAACACGAATGAAAACCTATGGGGTTCAGAGCCTTATGTGACATGCCTGAACTACAACTACAAAGACATCACTGGACATTGCAGCGATATCAAAACGAGGCGAGGCAAAGCTAGCCCAACAAAAACTGAACGCAGCTCGGGAAATCACAAGGCCAAAAGCGCACTCTCTACGAGACTGGCAAAATGCCACGAGTCGACATGCATGCAAGTCACAAATTACTAATTAAAATTACAAATTACGAATTATGGAGGCAGGCAAGCCTGCACGCACACAACAACCCGAATCACTACCGATCAGATGACAAACTGAGGCTGTCGAAACCACCACATCAAAGGCCGGAGCCAGATCAGTACGCGTGTAAACAGCAAGCCACCAAACCAGTCTTCGCGGGCACTCAGTCAAGGAACCAAACAGCCAGGCTTCAATTTTTGTTGGGTTTTGTGGTTTTTGTAGCCCTGCTGTGCAGCGCTCGATGAGCCATGGCTCAGCTCATCTTCAACCAGGTCCCCTCTGTGCTGAAACAAGCTGACCGAGACTAAGCACGAGATAGCCACTGTCCATGGGCGCTTGTGTGTCCGGAAAGGAATACCCATAGGAATACCCATAATGCCTTGGCTTACCCACGGCGCTGCAGATATTCCAGTCACAGTATTCAGAACGGATAAAGGATAAACCCACTGGGCGAAAATGGCACTTCACAGGAGCCTCGCTTCATGTCGGTTACATCCGAGCATCTCTCAGTTCTCGTGCACAGCTGTCTGCCAGACTCATGTATCCACTGAAGCAGAAGACTGCAGCCAAAGCGAAAGCCCACAAGGTCTTCAGTCGCAAAAGTCAGAGGCGCAGGCCCCCATGGCATCATTTCGACTTTCACCGAAATCCTGAAAAAACCCATCTGAAATGAACAGGGTGCAGGGAGGCCAAGGACCAAACAAACCAGTAGTAGGGAGGCAATAGATTAAATATCAGGGAACCCTCTCTCCTTACTTGCAGGGACCATGGAAGCCGGAGTGAAAGGTGGCAAGTGGGAAGCATGGCAAGCAGCAGGTGTGCACGGGTGGGCACATCGGAACCGGAGGGCATCGCCTCAA